CCTGTTTAACGTATGCTAGTTTACTCTAATGGATCTTAATGACTTTTCTAGCCATGCTAACGGATACAGAGTTTTTGCTAACGGTTATGCTGTTCCGTCTAACAGTCTAATGTTAATGGCTAATGGATACATGTCTCTTGCTAATGGTTGTAGTCTCCCTTGTAACGGCCTGATGCTAACGTCTAACGGTTGGGCTAATGCCTGTAACGTTTTTAACGGATGACTAACGGATGACTAACGGATGCTTAACACTTTTGCCCATCTAACGGAAAAGCGTTAGGGTATGTTTTCCTGTGCACGGTCACATATTATTTAGTCCAACCCGAAATATGTTCCTAACTTTTTTTCTACGGCTTCCATAGCATGAAAAGCATCTCCACCAATTGCATAAGAGTTCATTGTGAAACCCATTCTCAAAAGATGAGCAGACTTTATCAATCGTAAATGAAGTTTTCTGTATCTTGGATGGGGGATCTGTTTCTTTGATTTCTATCGGATCAATTCCAGCAATAGTAGTGATTAATTTATTACCCGTTTTAGTACTCCATGACATTATCTGCTTGTTTATGAATTTATTTTTATTGCCGGTTAAAAATGTGAAATTGTTTGTTCCTTTCAATGTTGCATTCAAGAAAACACACCGTTACTTTTCATAAAGAAATATGATATCAATATATCACCTTCCTTTTACCCATTCAAATCCCCAAATAAATATCACTCCTAACATTGAAATCTATTTGACACCAGCAAAAATTGTATAATCTTTGGTCATATCAAGTTCGACATCCATTTCACCATAGAAATTATCAAAACCATAAGTCACGCTAAAATCAGAAAATGGTTTGCAACTTGGTGAACCAGTTGAGGTAACTACGTTCAAATCGTTGAACACAGTCACATAGGACCACTCCTTTTGAACTCTTCCCGATCTAATAAATCAGCGTAAAATTCGAATATTCTTTTGAACACCTCGTCGTGTAATGCCACTCAGGCTATTTGAAGATGCTAGTGGAAAACCCTCCTAAGTGACTATTTAGGTCAAAAACTTTTTTCATCAAAAGTGCCTGATTTTTTGCATATGGCCTTCAATTTACTTACTTAACAATGCCTTGCTGTTTTTTTCACCTGTTTGCTTTTCGCTTTCGAGAAAATGGACGAAGAGTCCTTGAATGGTGTGCAATGAAGCGAAACAAAAGGAAGTCATTATGTAAATTTGCCAGCCTCTGTTAGCATGTGTTACATGGCGCAAGTGATTAAAGCGTGTGGATGCGGTAAAATTTGGTATAGGATGTCGGTTCAAATCCCGAATTTTTCCCCTGTTTTTTTTTCTTTCTTTTGGCTCTTCATTTTATTATATTTTTGTTAACAAGAAAAACCTATTTGTCAAT